TTGCTACATACTCTAATGGACTGGTTCCAGCTGTATAAGGCTGTTACGCTACAGGTGCCCCGTTTGTACACAAGTGCAATTTCAATCATAAAGTGTAAGTTACACTATAAAGCGTTATTCTGCTACAGCTCTACGTATGTGGTGTGGCTGCATGAGGCTACACTATACAGGTGTGAACAAAAGCTTACATACATGTGTAAAAACCATGGCAGTCTTGCATTTCCAATGACTCTTTTAATAAAATATTTTGATAATATCATGGAATCACTGAAACACATGCATCGTTGCCACAAAAAAAAAAAAAAAAGACCATGCATTTTGGGTCTTTCATAGATTTAATATAAGTCTTCAGCAATGTTAAGGTTCAACTGAAGGTTGCTGCTAATAACATGAATAAGAAAAGGGCCTTCTGGAGGAATGTTCTGTGGTCAGATGAAACAAAAATTGACTTATTTGGCCACAATGACCAGAAATGGAAGAGAGATGGTGAGACTATTAACCCCAAAAACACCAAACCTACACTGGATGTAGTTCAGTGTTCCAGCAAGACAATGATCCAAAACACATATTAAAAGGGGTAAAGAAATGGTTAAATAAGGCTACAATTAGGGTTTTAGACTGGCCTCCCCAAAGTCTTGACTTAAACCCCATTTAACACTAAAACTTAAAGACCTTTGGGTACTGTGAGAATATATGCATCAAATTAGTTTCTGACCTCATTATGTCTACCTTGCTGTTCTTCATATCTGGGTGCGAGTGGTAGCCACAATAGCGTTTGCACCTGACACACTACATGGGGACACTGCACTTCTCACATGTTAACAGGTGCAAAGAACTACTGACAGGAATGTCGTGTCTTTCATGGTGTTCAGTAAGTACAACATGGTAATTCTCTGTCCAAAGGCTTTCTGAAACAGCTTTTGAACAGCTACTAAAATATCTACAGTTTATCTACAGCTTATCAACTAAAAATGCATTTAACTGCTCCTGGACTTATTGCTTGTTGCATTACGCTATTGTGGTTCTGAAAGTCCTGGGGCCCATTCCACAAAGCAGGTTTAATGAAAACTCTGAGTCTGTTAACCCTGAAATGAGGGAAACTCTCAGTTTTCTGTTTCAAAAAGGGAGGTAATTCAAACCAGAGACAGAGGGGGAACTCTAGTCTGTTTTCACAGAGAGAGGTAACTTAAAGCCTCGGTCAGTTACCGTAGTAACAGACTCAATGAACCTAACCTGGTCGGGACCAGGTTTTTATCATGAACCTCGAGTTTCTCAGTGTTTCCCCCCCACATTCATTCATTCATTCAGTCAGCAGGCGACTTTTGGCGTAGCCTGGTTCTGTCGTCTGTCAAACTTCTAAATAAATAAATAAATTACAGTCAGTAGCCTTTAGGCTATATTAGAAGTCCATTAGGCACAGTAGGTGGCGACTTTTTCACTAACATGGAATGTCGTTTTGAAAACGATCCTGTGAATGAAGGTGCAGCATTACTGCGCAGAGTATTAAATACTCATCAGGAAACGGTTATCAGACCACGCACAGATGTTCTAGCATTTCCAGACAGTTATCTTTTTGAGCGGGACCGTTTCACATCACAGTCCATCATCTACAACCTAATCCGTCCTTACATGTGCAGCATTACCAACCATAGTCATGCTCTGACATCCCAGCAGATATTGTGTGTTGTGCTGTGTTTCTTTGCAAATGGAAGTCTTTTGTACAATGTCGGGGATGCAGAGCACTTGAGTAAGGCAACTGTATGCAGGGCGGTCAGAAAAGTGTGCCTCACCCTGAAACAGCTTTTACCCATCGTTGTTGTTTTCCCTGGACATAAACCTGTCAGAGCCATCAAGGAGGAGTTCCACAGGATTGCAGGTGAAGAATGTAGAGATCTGTTAAATTAATTTGAAATGATATTCTGTTGATGAGATTGTGCTGCAACCTCAGACTTGAACAATGTTTTTATATTTCATCTTAAGCTGCTGCCAAGTGCTCTTCTCCCCCCGTGGGATTGCACCTAAATGAAATAAATTAAAGGGCTACCATTCAAGCTGTTTTCCTGGAATATTATTGTGATGGTAAAGGACGACATTTAAACTTACGCACTGACCCGAGCAGTAATGTTCTCCACACCGTCTCCCTCTGTTTTGCAGCTGCAGTGATGTTGCACCTCTTTCTAAAAATGTGTTCAAACTCGCCCTATGAGCGCATTATGACTTCCAGTTTTAGTGGGTGAAAAATGCAGCCCTCCTCTCCCTGTTGTGGTGCACGCGCTTAACTCCAGGTGAAACTACTCTGAGTTGTTCAAACTAACTCAAATCTGCTGTTCTGGAACCGGAAACTCAGAGTTTCCTATCTCAGAGTAGATCAACTCAGAGTTCAGGATTAGACTCAGAGTTTGTTGAACCTCCTTTGTGAAACAGACCCCTGGAGTGTTTTTTGGGTAAGCTTGTGGCTTTTTTGAGTGACAAGTGTAAACGGTCTTGAATGTGGAGATGTAAGTGCTCCGGGGGTTGGAGGTATACCTTTTAGTATGATGAGGAGATAGCATTAATAGGCGAGCTACACAGTATTATGGGTCAATGGAATGTGTATATAGGGTCAAGATTATTTCACATTGAAAATATTTAGCCTGGAAAATACTCCTCTTTTTTCCAATTTCAGGAAAACACACATAAAGAGAGGTCTGTACGTTGTACAGAATGTGATTGATTTTGCCTTAAACTTGCTAAAATGTAAAAACATTGAAAACTCTATGATGTTTACATCAGCAGCCTCCAACAACAACATGTCAGTGGTAAAAAAATCTCCTGCTTATTGTTTCTACATCTGGGGTTGAACAATGAACTTGAAGGATCATTGTACAGTATACTGTACACTAAGGCTCAAATGAAATGTGTTGTCTGAAAAAACAGCAACATTACATGTAAGATAAAAAATACAGACATCAGCAGCACATCTGAAGGTGGTGTACGAAATACAACAGGAGTATACCCCAGTGCAACATCACAAGGTCAAATGATTCCAAATTGTATCACCTTACAGTGATTGCACAACTTCTAAGTTGAACAGTAGAGTATTTGCAGTTCAGATTTATAATATTACAAATACAGGCTAACTTGAATTATTGATTTTGGTAGTATAGACAGTAGTTTTAATCAAATGTTATTTGTGGCATGGAAACTTAACTTCTCATAAGTGTTTACAACTAACTACAGCTGAAGAGTTCTCTGAGTCAATTCAAATAGGACCTATTTAATACACTCTGAACAAACTTGTCTTGACTATCATCTGACCAAAAAATGGGCTCCTACCATCAGGCTCCTTATCAAGTTATTTGACAAAGATCATTCTTTTTCCTTCAATGTCATCAACAGAGGTCGATGTTATGCCATGTCCTTCACCCTGACCGAGCTGTCAAAGAAACTCTGATTTCCTTTGACAACCCCTGTGCCAAGTCTGTAGCACCTGCCCATCTGTTTGTCAGAGCTCGACAGTACAAGTAGAACACTGTCCATGGCATCATTTTAGCAAGAGGATCACTACATCTCTGATGATGAGTACTTTGGCACATTCAATAGCGCCTGATTACTAGTACAACTGTGTTTTAACTGATTTTTGGTAAGTTACTGTTTATCCATAATTGTAAAGTCTCACAATCAGATTTTATAATCCCTTTGCCAATTCTTTTCCATGTGGAGCCTTGATGCAGGTATGCAGACACAGACCACAGGTCTGCCTTTCACGCAATTAGGGTGAGTGGAAATCACGGCTACACTCAATGTTTTTCAAAACGACAGGGTTTCTAAGTTGTGTGTAAGTGATCACAGGTGTACTCACTGTTGTTGTATTGAGTTTCTGTTTTGGGGTCTGTATCGTCATTGCAGTCTTTCTAAAGAATTCTTTTTTGACTGTTCATGAGAAACATTCCACTTGTTAACTTAGAAAGTCCCCGATTATTAGGAGGATGTTTTTATTTTGAATCATTTGACATTCAAGCTATTGTGCACAGAGTGAACTCCCTTCTGTTGTATACTGTACATTAACACAACACCTCCAGCAGCAGTTTAAATAAAACTGAGCTGAATGACTGCATAAAAAGGCATTGTTTTGAGGCAGTCTCATTAGCAAGAAAAATTAGATGCAGGAGGACATCAAGGCAAGCCTGGGGTGTGTTTTGCAAACCCTAGAATATCTGGAAACCTCAGCAATGCAGTCTAAAAACAAAGATATTATATAAGATCTATATAGTGTGAGTTCAATCAGTCAATCAATCAGTGCTGGTTGGATACCATTGCTGATGTTAAAAGGGAAGAGCAAGCCACAGTGGATACCTAGCAAAATTTAAAGAGGTGACAGCTGGCTATATGCTTTCACTGAAGGTGTTTCATTTCCCAACGGTCTTTCTCAGATCCTCCACACACAAAAAAACATCTACAAGATAATAAATAACCTGAAACAGAACTGTGACTGATAAGATCACATGTTGGCCTGCAGAGACCACTCGAACTGGAACAAGTTTGGCAGATGGGTCAGGTACTTAGCATTAAATGATTACTTCAGCATTTTGGGAAACATGCTTTGTGAGGTAAGTGTCACATGATTTCACATTCATATCGGAACAATCAGTGGGTCAAGAGCGAGCTTGGGTTTGTCCAAATATGTCTCTTTCTTTAACCTTCAGCTTGAGCGGTAACCTCTTGGTGCCGCAACTAATTATCATCCACAGACATGTGCCCTGTTTAATAAACAAATTTGAAGCAGAGAAGGAAATCTAAATGCTTGATGCAAGCTGACACAAAGCTTCTATATGAGCACAGTTGCAATAATAGAAATTAGGATTAAAGTATACGGTTGCTAACAAAGCTGCTGATTTCAGTTTGACAGCTGAGTCAATAAGGAAAGTTCATTGCTTTGACAAAGCCCAAGTCTACAAACACACACATATCTACGCAGAGTGCAGACACAAACAGGCGCAAATACACAGTAGAAGTGTTACCTCATCGAGTTCAGAGATGTAGACAGGCTTCTCTTCAAAGCCAATGGGCATTGGTTCATTGGGCGGGATTTCCACCTCCTCATACATCTTACTGTTGTCTCTTCGGATTCCCTCTGGTAGAAGCATCTGAATGTCACACACACAAAAACGTAGAGAAACCCTCAGTTATCCAAAATGACCTCAAAGATTCATAATATTGGTAGATTTTAAAACACAACCAAATATAATTGTATACCTAAATGTGTTTTGGACATGTACAACATCTAAAGCACTGCGTGTGACAGCCCAGGAAAACAGCACAGAAAAATAGAACAGGCCATTCTGTATTAAAATCAGTGTAAAAAATATCAGAATAAAAATCCAGCAACGCAACAAATAAGGTGTTTGGTCATTGTTTTGTTACTGTGTGGTACGTGGGGTGAAAGTGCATTGTGATTCATGGTTAGATGTGCTTTTTTTCTGTGTACTGTGGTTTGTGATTTGAATTACTATGACTGTAGTAGGCTCTGTGGTATTTTGAATGTGGGTACATAGCATCGAGCAGCCAGGGCTCACATAAATAATATCCCAAAAAGACTTTGGACAGAACTACTTTATCTTTTGAAATAACTTGATTACAAATTACTGGAGTTAGAACAAACATACACAACCTTATGTTCTGGCATGCATTTGTATTTCTTTTTAATAGAAAGACTTTTTGTAAACTATAATTTACAAAATATCTCTTACAACAGGTAAAAACAATTTATGTAAATCAGAAAGGAGGAAAAGCTTTGAAGTAATATGTCTATTACTGGGGTGCTGACCATGAAAATAGTCACATATATCTCTACAGACTGTACACCCATAAAGTTGTATGTGCATACAAACGTTTACATACATTTGTAAAGAAGATGCATATCATGGCAGTCCTGATTTTCCAATGACTCCAATAACTTTTTTATTTTCTATGATGGAATCATTGAAAATCATGCATTTTGGTTCTTTTATAAATTTACCATAGAAACTTGCTGAGTCAAACATATACATCCAATACATGAACTTGAAATATCAGTTTCAGTGATTTAGAAAGCTGTGTTAATCAAATTTTCTTCTCATGAGTGATTATGACTGACTGCAGCTGATGACATTGCAAAACTAATTTCAATAGGGTCCCTTTAATACGCTCATCAGACTGTCACTGTCACTGTCACTGTTCGTAAAGAAAATGCAAGCTGTCACCTGCTGCTGACAGTTAATTGGTCGCATGGTCAAAAGTCAACTAAGCATCATCCAAAAAATGTGTTTTACATGGACATGGACTGAGAGGCTGTCATGCAAGAAGGAAGGCTCGACTGCAGTTTGTTGCTAATCACATGGACAAAGACAAAGCCTTTGCAGGAACGTTCTATGGTCAGATAAAACTAACTTTGAGCTATTTGACAAAAAATAACTGAAAATATGCTTAAAGGAGAGACGGTCCTTAAACTGACACATAAAGCATGTCTGTAGGATGGCCTTCCTTCGCCTATGTACTATCGTCAAAATCAATCTTAGAGTGATGCAGACAAACTAGTCCATGCATCTGTAACTTTTAAGCTGAACTTTCGTAATTCCCTGTTATCGGATGTCCCAATAATTCTCCTAAAAATCTCCAGCTTATACAAAATGCTGCAATTAGAGTTTTGACAGAAACCAGCATGACATCACATTTTCCCCCTATTAGCCATAGACTGTATAAAAGACCAAAAACATGTTGAGGTTGGTTGGTGATTCTGAATTGTCCGTGGGTGTGAATGTGGGTGTGCCTGGTTGTCTGTCTCTAGGTGTAGCCCTGCGATGGACTGGTGACCTGTCCAGGGTGTCCCCTGC